ATAAATATATTACTTATAAAAACAAGCTGAGCACACCATAAGCATAGTAAATAATTCACATTGCATTAGATAATTCCCACCCACTTTCCAGCAGAGATTTCTCCCCTGTTTGGAAAAAAAAGGTGTCTGTATCCTTTGGGATATGTTCTGAACGTGATAAAAATCTCTTTTTTTATACTTTAGATGTTTTGGATTAATCAAAACATTCTAATATAGAACTTTGGCTTTCCTGTGTGGAAATGATGTTCTTGAGTAGTGATCTGCTAGGTTAGCGCTCAGCTAGGCCAGCTGAACTGTAAGCTAGCCCCCACTTTTGGAGCGCCTAAGTGATGTAATTACCCTAGTACCATATTTGGACAGTACAATAACTTTTGTATGTCAATTACACGCTTTTACATTTTCCATGTTCCCTATTTAAATCTCTTAATATTTTTTTCCTTCTGTATATCTTTTCTAAAACCATATACAGTACTTGACAATGGTGAGTACAGCCTATATCTAATGTCATCCTAGCTTCTGTACACTAGTGTAACAGGATATTTTCCCCTTCTCCTCCGTCCTGCAGCCCTTTGCACCACTGAATACCCAAATTTCATAGCCACTCAGGTTTTGGGGAGGGTGGATAAAAATTAATATTTTTTTAGATCAGTTTAAATCATGATTCAAATTGTGATTTAAATTAAAAATAATCTTTCATTTGAATAATCAGAAACTTGATTTAAAAAAATAGTGATTTAAATCAAATCCACCCTGGTTTTGAGGCATTCTGCCTGATGCCTAGATATATATGTATTTGTCAGTTATCACTGTTAGTGTTAAGAGAGTCTTATATACAATTTTATAATTAATTTTTTAAGTAGCTGTTTAATATGAACATAATCATTGTATCAAAATGGCTATTATGTTTACAGATTTTTGACGTTAAGTCCAGTGATTTGTTGGCAAATATCGTTATAAGTCACCACAATACTATTCAGTATTGTGACTTTTGTCCAAACAGTCAGATGGTAGCAGTTGCTCTATCACATTATTCTGTTGAGGTAAGTAACTATATTAATGAAAATACACATAATTACCTTTTCCCTTGATTTTTCTCGTTGCATTGTTAGATAGGTTTGCAAAGGGAAGACATAATTTAATAAAATTATAAAATGTACTTAGAACAATAGATTGTGCAGCACTCTTTACTGGTAGAATATGCATTCTGTGTATTCTAGATTTTTATTGACAGTTCTACTAGCATCGTTTTTTTCAAAAGGAATAACAGTCTATATTCTATACCATCCAACAATCCCACCAAAACAATCTATAGACTGTGCACAGCAAGAGAGTTCAGCATTTCTAAATCATTCCATGCCATGAAAAAACATCTTAGAGGAATCTTTTCCAATGTAAACCCTTTCAAAATAGCTAGCTGTTTTGTCATTGTGGGAATAGAATGCAATGGTAGACAGAAGTGTCCAGAATAGCTGTCATAGTAGAAATAATTAGGTCTTCAAATTTTTCTCTTTGCTTTAGATATGGGATATTGATTCCTTGTCCAAAGTAGCTGACTGCCGAGGACATATGAGCTGGGTGCATTCTGTGTCATTTTCTTTTGATGGATCTTTATTTCTGACTTCATCTGATGACCAGACAATAAGGGTAAGTTCATTATTTCTTCTTTGTGGCCCCTGTGAATCGACACAAATGGGTTTTACTGCGCCTGCACAGTGACACAAATGGGTTTTACTGAGCCTGCACAGGACTGCTCGGAATATTCTAGAGCTTAAAAAAATGTGAAATTAGTTGGACGATCAGAATAAAGGCTCTCCTTTTGACTTGAAGATTAGGGAGGAGAATGTAGAGAAACTGTCTATTGATTATTTTGATTAATTATACTAAAATATTTGTTTGGTCACTTATACGTGAAAGTCAAGTTAAGCTATGTGTATTTCAAACTGAGCGCTTTACGACGAAATCGCTTAGTGACGCTGTTTTTGCGATTGCAAAAGCGATCGCTTTGCGATGATCCCTATGGGGTATTTTCACTTTGCGATGATTGCAGGGAAGCGATCATCGCAAAGCCCCCATTTTCACACAGCTGTTCGGTGGTTTCAAAATGGCTGCCGGGAAAAAAACATGACTGCCCGCTGTGTTTAGGGAGGGATTTCTGGCTTTAGAGGCATTGAAAATGGCGGCGCTATGGAGGATCTTCGCTCAGCTGTGAGTTTTAAGCCCATAGGAATGCATTGAAGGGGTATCAATGCGTTTCTATGGGCTTTTTAATATCACATAGTGACGTTTTCGTTCAGCGATTTTTGCGGAATGAATTAACATCGCTAAGCGAGGCACCACTGTTAATGGTTAGGCTTATATATTTCTTCCAACTACAAAATGAATTCCCAAACTGATTTGCAGAAATGAATAATATATTTAAAAAATTAAAAACATAAGAATCTTCCTGGAATTACTCATCCTAAATAAGAATCCTAAATTCAGATATCCAGTTTATGTGTCTGCAGAGTCTTAAGTGTTGACTTTGTACAACTTGTGTTGTATCAGTTATTCTCTTTTCAACAGATTTGGGAGACAAGTAAAGTATTCAAGTCCTCTGCCATTGTATTAAAACGTGAAATAGATGTTTTGTTTCCAGACAATGAGGCAATCATTTTAGCCATTGACAGTTCAAAGTATCTGCAAGTAAGTATGTATATTTGAACATTTTACTTCCAGTGAGTAGTATAATCAGGTTTGGATTGGTTTGGATATTACTTCAGGCTTCAGTGACTTACCAAAAGCTAGACTTCTGTCCATCATCTATAAGCAGAAACAATGCAGATGATATGCAGATGATAAATTACATCTTATCTAATTTACAAGACTGTTCTCAGAAAGAATGATGTAACAATGGTAAAAATTATGAGTTGCATATACAGTCTTCAGTTGGCCCAAACAAATCCTGTGTGGATTTTGACATGCTTTTTCATTCGTTTGCTGCTATGTTTCTGCAATGGCATTCCTGCAGATATCTGGAAAAATTGTTATGTTCAGAAGCTATCATACCTTCAGCAACCTTTTTTTTTTTGCAAATTTGACAAATATTGATCTTCTGAATCCTACACATCAAAATGATGATAAAGCATAGAATGCAATTTACTTCTTTAAAAATGTACTTACAGAACACATATTTGGACAATTTTATTACCTTGGCTTTACACTTGTGCTCAGTCACAAATTGGAATTTGAACTTTCCATCTGACTCATGAGTTAGTAGCCTAGGTATAGGGGATCATTTACTGACTTTGTGCCTATTGAGATATAGACTTATATCTACTGAGATTCTTTACCTTAGGCAGATTAATCTTTATATGTGAGAAGAAAGTACAGTGTTGCTTCAAACAATTGTGGTTACGGTCCTTCACTCAAAGAAGTTTTTCTATCCTGAAAGTGAGGTGGGAACAAGCACTGAAGCTGCATTTGAGATTGGAGTAGTTTATGAACAGGTTGGGATTATACATTTTTTAAAAAGTATCAAAAGAAGAGATTGTCAAAGTTCCTACATCCAGTAGGTAAACTGCTAAATTTGTACTTCTTATTACAGTTTTTTATTCATTCTCCCTTGGGAATCTTCATAGGATTGTCTGTAGATACTCTTTCATTACAATTACATGCCTTTTTATTTAGCATTGGGATATGAAACAATTAATCAAAAGCAAAAACCAATACAAGAATAAAAGTCAAATTCTGGGCACTTAGATGGCAAAAATAGATGTCTATTTCTAATATTTAATATGTCAATGTCACTGTAACGATCACCTCTCCCTAAAGAGAATATGATGCTTGGACAGGGAGTCACTGTGGGCGCAAAAGTACGACCTTTATCTCTGAGGTAGGTCCTTTAGGCAGTACGACCTTTATCTCTGAGATAGGTCCTTCCTCAGAAGTGTGTAGCATAAGACATGTGGACTATCCTGACCTTAAAAGAAAATCTTTGCTTACTTTCTAAGTAACCAAGGATTGACTTTGTGCTTCTTTAGACAGCACATGGCCTTGTAAAGCAGGACTTCTTAAATATAATAGCAACTTAGTGACCTTCTCAAATCTCCACTGAATGTAGGTGTAAGTCCTGCTGTTTCAAGAGACAAGTCCTCTGTAAGAATTATATTTGTTTTTATTAAGAAAATAAAAGAATTTCATTAAAATACAGTTGTTGCTGCAAGGCATAAGCATTTAACACATCCACCCATTACAATAAAGCTGCTATTTCTAAATAAAATAAGAACAACTACTTCTCTACTGCTAAGTAATCATTCTGACTTCTAAGCTAGGGTATTCACACCCCTTCTTCTTGAAAAGAAGAACAAACCTCTGTGTTTGTGAGGTAGCCTTACAAGGAGGCTACCAAATTCATAGCTTAGAACTATTGGATTTAAGGTTCTTCTTCATGGCCTCTGTGAATCACACCCTGGGGGATCTGCGCCTGTGCGGAGCCTCATCAGAAAGTTCTAGAGCTTCTGCAGTAGCAAAAAACACATTAGAATAAGGCCCTTCCCCCCTCGTATAAGTACCTTGGCTCCAAAGCTCCCCTTTTAGTTTCTTTCAACTGCTGTGTTGAGAGCCTCATATTTCTGCTTCTGTGAGTAAAAGAGAAAGAGAGTTTATTCTTGATTCCTTCCTGTTATCAATCTTTTTCCCTTTAAACGTTTAGATTAAATTCATTATTATCAGAGATTTTTTCCTTTCTGCTTCGCTCGGCCTCTGGCTGCAGCAACCCCCCCCATCATCGCCTTTTATCCTCAAATTATTTTTCTCCTATTCATAGCCCCTTTGAGCCTGTTTAAACACTGTTTACCACTCTCCGACGGCCACACCAAGTGTCTTTTTTGCTTGCTAGAGGCACACCAGATGTCCTCCTGCCAGCATTGTAAGAACTTCAAGCGTGGAATCCTCCGTCCTCGCTTATCCAGATTAAAACTCCATCTTTGGGAACAATCGCTTCAACCAACCGAAATGGCCAACCTCCTTGTAAGGCTACCTCACAAACCAAAGCAATGGAGAAGGCTCTTTCTGAAGCCTCTGAATAACATACCACACCATCCCACTGCGATGCTCCACCCACTTCATCTAAAACTTCAAAAACCCATAAATCGAAGTGCTCGATACCAAAATCCTCAATATCGAAGCCCTCCACTAAACATCGAATGTCGACTGAAGCCTCTTCGATCCCGGAGACCTCTCTGCCTAAAAGGCCTAAAAAGCATAAATCTAAAGCTGCAGTCATCTCTCAGCAACAAACCACCGAATCAATCTCTATTGGTTCACCTTTTGAAGATGATGGAATTCCCTCTCATCAACCCTGCTCCCAATCACCGGAATGGGATTACAGAGTTGATCAATTAACATCTTCTCCTCCCAGTCCTCAACACTCTGTTCTTTCGAGCAACCGTTCCATAGTTGCTTCACTTGACAGGGTCGGCTCCGAACAACAACTAGAGACCATACCTTATTCAGTAACACTATGACCACCTGGAGCCCCTATTTCATCACATGTGGCTCAGACCCACATTCAGCACTCTCATCAGGTTGCCATTTGTCCCAACCAGTGCTTGACCAGACAAACTGCAACCGCCAATCAGCCAGTTGCTCTGTCCAGCTCGGCCATACCTTCTCAATCTTAGCAGCCATCGTTGTCAAAACAGCTATATCGCCATGACCCACATGGACTCCAATCTGCTCCCTACCTGGCACCTAAAAGATCCAGGACAGTCAAGCAGTTTTCTTCTACACGCGAGGCTTTTACAGCTCCAGCCTCCCGATATTTTCCCGCTAATCCAGATGAGGGGAATCATTCCTCTCACTCAGCATCTCCAGCGCCTAGATACTCCACTGCCTTACCAGCTCTTCAACAACCTCCGTTTCAACATCGTCGAGACAAGGCTCTGATATCGATGATCCCCAATATCCATCCTGATCCATCGACACTCATTCTGCCCCTCTATCGACATACGATTTCCGTTAACCGATAGAACCAAGCCATCAAACTCAACATCACCAAGTTTGACACGGACATGCAACTACAGTATATCAAACAACATCCATGGACACTTGAATGACATCTCTGGTATCGAAAATCCTCGACACCTACAAATGCCCATGGACATACAGGCTCCATTTGTATGTCGAAAAGTTCGTAAGTCGAAGTACCATTTTCCAGTGAAAAGCATGGGAACAGAATTAATCTATTCCGGCATTTCAAAAAATTACCAAAATAAAAATAAACCCACAGAAACATAACACCTCAGTCCAAACCCACCCTCCACAACCCACCCAAAACAAGTTTTTTAAAAAGAACATACCAGTCTGAAGCCTCCTGGCGCTCTACTGCCTCTGCCGGGGCGAGCAGCCAAGCACCCGGCCAGCTGACTGCTGCCTCCAATTGCAGTAGCGGGAGACCCCCAGGAGGTCTCCAATGGCGCTGGGGAAGCTCCCCCAGGGCTTCTCTGCCGCCATCAGAGATCTCCTGGGGGTCCCCCGCCACCGTGATTCGTGCCCTCAGGCTTTCCCAGGGAGTAGACCAGGCTTACCAGGGGAAGCCCTCCCCTGGTATGCCCACTCTACCAGGCTTTCCCGGGGAGTAGACCAGGCCTACCGGGCAAAGCCCTCCTGAGGGCTTCACCTGGCAGGCCCGATCTACTCCCTGGGAAAGCCTGAAGGTGCTGATCGCGGTGATGGGAGACCCCAGGGAGGTCTTGCCCGCCACCATGGGAGACCTCGCTGGGGGGTCCCTGCCGCCACGATTGGCATCTTCGGAGGTCTCAAAGGGCTTTCCCACCGACATTGGAGGAAGTCATTTGAGACTTCCAAAGGCAAAAAGGCAGGGGGAAAGGGTGGGAAATTGGAATTTCCTGCCCTTTCTCCCAGCCTTTTTGCCTTCGGAGGTCTCAAACGGCTTCCTCCGATGTCAGAGGGAAAGCCCTTTGAGACCTCCGAAGGCGCCGATTGCTCGGTTTGCAAAAAATGGCATTGACTTGCGAACGGATCCTTGACCTCGTTTGTAGGTCGAGGCTCTGTTCGCAAGTCAATTTTTGTGAACGGAGCCATTCGTAAATCAAAAAGTTTGTATGTGGGGACGTTCGTAAGTTGAGGGTTGACTGTACTGTGACACTCAACCTATTGACACTGAAGTCGACTCCCAATGTGTTCCCGATTATTCCTATCACAGATCCAGTCCTCAGACGCCATCAGTATTACTTACCTCACCAGAATCCAACCATGTCGTTGCCGGCCCACCATCACCGGCGGAAGACTTCCAAACTTACACCCAACTTATGATCCATATGGCTAAGTCTCTCATTCTCCAAATCCACCATCCGACAGAACCAGCCAATCATCTATACAACCCAATCTCTAAAGATACAACTGCTCCAGGACATATCTCGAGGGTTCCGTCTCTACTGAGCACCGCTCAATGATCCTGGACAAAACCAGCCTCTTCCTATAACCATGTCTAAACAAATCAATAACCTCTACAGAGTCCATGATCCTGGAGCTCTATTTCTTCAAAAACGACCAGCTCCAAACTCTGTTTTTGTCGAAGCCTCACAATCCAGATCTCAACATCGACAAACCCTCATACCACCAAATCAAGACAGTAGAATGATAGACTCAATGGGAAGATGGCTTTATTCATCAGCAGCGTT